GAACAGAATTAAAGACCCAGTCATAATCCACAGATGCATGACCAACTGATTTTTTGGTAAAGAAGCCAGAAATACACATTGAGAAATAAATACACCATCTTCAACAAATAATGCTGGCCAAACTGAATGGTTGCCTGTAAAAGAATCCAAATAGATCCATACATATCACTCTGCTCTAAACTCAGCTCTAATGGATCAAAGACTTCAACATAGAACCTGATAAAGATAAAGATAAAGGGGGGGATACCTTTGAACTCCAGGACAGTGAAAGACTTTCTGAACAGAACACCATTAGCACAGGCACTAAGATCAGCAGTTAATAAATGGGACCTCATGAAACTGAGGCAAAGGACACCATCATTCAGACAAAACAGCAGCCTTACAGAAAGCAAAACCAAATCATTTTTACTAGCTACACATGCAAAAAAAGGCTAATATATAAAGAACTAAAAAATACCTAGGTATCAGCCAGGCGGTGATGGCACATGCCTTTAATCCCAGCACTTGGGAGGCAGAGCCAGGCAGATGTCTGTGAGTTCAAGGCCAGCTTGGTTTACAGAGTGAGATCCAGGACAGGCACCAAAACTACAAGGAGAAACCCTGTCTCAAAAAACCAAAAATAAACAAACAAAAACAAAAACAAAAAAACTATCTATCTGAAGGGCATTTTCTTTATTAGTGATTGATGGAAGAGGACCTAAGCACACTGTGGGTGGTGTTATCCCTAGTCTGATAGCCCTGGGTTGTATAAGAAAGCGGGCTGAACAAGGCATGTGAAGCAAGGTAGTAAATAACACTTCTCCATGGCCTCTGCAAAGAGCTTTTCTTCTAGGCTCCATCTGACCCCAATACACTGCAGCTGCTGTTCTTGGTGGTTGTAGTATTTTGAATGTAATTGCCCCCATAAGCTCATAGAGAGTGGCACTATTAAAAGGTTTGGCTTGGTTGTAGTATGTATGGCCTTGTTGGAGGAAGTGTGTCACTGTGGAGGTAGGCTTTGAAGTCTCATATATGCTCAAGCCACACCCAGTGAGACAGTTCACTTCTTGTTGCCTACACAAGATGTAGAACTCTCAGCTACTTCTTCAGCACCATGTCTGCCTGCATACCACCATGTTCCACCATGATGATAATCGACTGAACCTCTGAATTGTAAGCTGCCACCTCAATTAAATGTTTTTCCTTCATAAGAGTTGCCATGTTCATGGTATCTCTTCACAACAATAGAAACCCTACCTAAGATGGAAGTTGGTACCAGGGACTTGTGTGTTGTTGTGATGGGCCTGACTATGTTTTTGTTTCAAGGAATATGGACCTTGGGACTGTGGATTAGAAAAGCAGTTGAATGCTTTAAGTGCTGCCTAATGGGCCATACTAGTAGGAGCATGGAAGGCAGTGGTGCTGAATGTGATTTGATGAATTGTGGGGGGCTGGATCAAGAAGTTTCAGCAAAAAAAATGTCAGTATGTGATATTTTGGTGAAGAATGTGGCTGCTTTTTGCCCTTGTCTGAAGAGTCTGCCTGAGGCTAAAGTGACTGTTGGATTAATTTCATGGCAGAGGAAATCTCAAAACAGCCTGGTTTAGACTCTGTCATAGTTATTAGTGTTAACTCTAATGAAGATTTATAATGAAAAAGAGCAAAGTGAGCACAGAAAAATACAAATGTAAACTTTGAGGAGAAAAAGAACACCAGGAAGTGGAATGGTGCTAAAGCCTGTGTTCAAAGAGATAAACAGATTAGAAATGTAATAAAGGGAGTGGTGACCTCAGGGAAAGATCTCATACAGCTAAGTTTCCAACTGGTGAAAAGGAATTAAAGAAAAGCTTAAAACAGGATATGGTGGTACATGCCTTTAATCCTAGTACTTGGAAGGCAGAGGCAGGCAGATCTCTGAGTTTGAGGCCAGCCTGGTCTATAATCCAGTTTCAGGACAGCTAAGCTTCAGCAGTGAAGCAGACCATTGAAAACAGAAAGCAGTGAAGATATAATTGAATGAGGGGGCCATGTTCCAGCCCCAGTAAGCAGAAGAACTTGGCATCTTTGGCCACATGGTTCTGGAGTTAGGGAGGGAAGAAAGGGATTGTGTAATCTTCATTTGCATCCAAGAAAAGCCACTGAGGCCAGGCATGTGTCAGAGGTGTCCCTGAATAGAGGCCTGAGAGGCCATTTTATGAAGCCGTGCAGTTGAAGTCTAGATTGCCTTGGAAAAACCAAGACGTTGGAGATGCAGTCAACAAAGGTGAAAGGAGTTGGAAATCTGGAGAATCTTTTGACATCAGACATGGAGATGCAGAGTTTAGAGTTTTCCAGCTGGTTTTCAGTCTTGCTCTGGTTCAGTATTTCTTCACTATGCTCCCTTTCCTATGTTTTGGAATGGTAATGTATATCCTATGCAGTGTGATCTGTTTTTTATTTTGGTTTTACAGGGGATTACAGTTAAGAGATTGCATGAAACTTAGAAGAGACTGTCAACTTTGGATTTTAAAACATTGTTGATACTGTGATAGACTATGGGGACTTTTGAAGTTGGACTAAATGCATTTTGCATTCTGATGTTGTTACAAGCTTATGGAGGCCAGGAAGTGAAATGGGTAGTTTGAATGTAACTGGCCCCCATAATCTTATAGGGAGTGTCGTTATGAGGAAGTATGACCTTGTTAGAGTAGATAGGGCCTTGTTCAAAGAAATGTGTCACTGTGGAGGAGGACTTTAAGGTCCCATATATGCCCAAGCCACACCCAGAAAAACAGTTAACTTCCTATGTTCTTCAGGTCAAGATGTAGAATTCTCAGCTTTCTCCAGCACCATGTCTGCCTGGGTGCTGCCATGTCCCACCATGATGATAGCGGACTAAACCTCTGAACTATAAGCCACCCAATTAAATGTTTTCTTTATGAGTTGCTGTGGTCATGTTGTCTCTTCACAGCAATAGAAACCCTAACTAAGGCAATCTACTTTCATTATTCCTCAGGTAGATAGCCAGTTTGCCCGACTCCATTTGCTGAAGAAGCTATCTTTTCTACAATGCATGTTTCAAAAACAATGGCTCTCATTGTGGTCCTATATCTGGTCCCTCTACTTTACTCTATTGACCAACATATCTATTTTTGTGCCAGGATCATGCTGTTATTATTATTATGACTCCATAGTGACACAAAATCAAGTATACAAATACTCCCAGCAGTATTCTTTTGGTTCAGGATTTCTTTAGCTATATGGTTTTGGTTTTTTTTTTTTTTTGTGCTTCTATGTGAATTTAAGATTACCTTTTGTACAACATTTTTTAAAGCATGATACTGGAATTTTGAGCGCATTAAGTCTATAGATTGTCTTTTTTAGATTATTTTTTTAATTACAATATTAATTCCTCCATTTTCTGAGTATGGGAAGTCTTTCTACTTTCTAGGTTTTTTTTTTTTTTTTTTTTTTTAAATTCTTTCTTCATTGTTTTAAAGTGTCAATTGCCGGGTGGTGGTGGCACACACCTTTAATCCCAGCACTCGGGAGGCAGAGGCAGGCGGATCTTTGTGAGTTCGAGGCCAGCCTGGGCTACAGAGCGAGATCCAGGAAAGGTGCAAAGCTATACAGAGAAACCCTATCTCAAAAAAAAAAAAAAAAAAAAAGTGTTCATTATAGCAGTCTTTTCATTTTCTTTGTTAGCTTATCATAAGGTTAATCTGTGTTTCTCACTGTTACATAGGGAGGCCATATTTTTGTATGTTTGTTTTTATTACCTCCACTTTGTTGGAAGTGTTTCTCAGTTCTAGTTTTCGTGTGGAGTCTGAAGATTCTCTTATGGGTACAATCATATTATCTGCAACGAACCTACTTTGATTTCTTTTTTATTTGCATTTGTTTTATATACCTTTTCTTGTTTTATTGCTCTTGTGATAGTTAAAGAACTTCCATTTTATGCTAGACATCCATCCTGGTACCCACAGGCCATTTCTCTCTGAGTCCATTCCCTGGAATATAAATTCCCAGTACCCTGACTCAGTGACCCCCACCCAGAAATGTAGCGCTCTTCCTCTCTCACTAGCAAACAGACACACTGAAAAAAACAAAACCAAAAACAACAAAATGAAACAAAACTGAGAAAAAGTGAAGATACAGTACAAGAAACACACATACAGACAATATATAAGCAAAAGACCAGTAAGGTTTACAAAAACATATATCCAAACAGAGCATTATGAGACAAAACACCTCCCAGAGTGCCACTGCACAGATCTTAAATGCCCCTCCTCGTCCCATTCCCCCTCCATGGGCCTCCTGGACTGGCCCCTCGGGTCACTCTGCACAGATGGCAGTGACACCTGTCTCCTGGTGGCCGGTCAGGCATTTGCCATTCTCATCACACAGGCCAAGCTGACTTGCTGAGTTCGTCTCTGGTCACTGTGTGGCTCCACCTATCTTCAGAAACAGACGCCACTGTCCAGACACACTAAGCGGAAAAGCGTTATCGAGCTGTGCGTCATCAAGCCACGCCCCCTGCCTAGCGGGAAAAGCGCCTCCGCCAGCAGAGAAAGGAGCATGCGCAAAGCAAAAGACGAGTGGCGCCTACAGTCAGTAGCGGTGGGCCAGGAAAGCGCGTGCGCGGTGATAGCGTCAGCGCCCTTTTACTCCTAAATATGTGCATTCTAGAGGGGAAGGAGTGTGTGTGCGCCATAAAAGCAAAAGCTGTTTAGGGATCCAGGGCAGAAGAGATAATTGCGTGCGATCATGAATACCCGTCATCCAATAGGCATTTTTACCAAGTACCCAGAATATGGTTCTGGGTGTTGCTGCCTAAGCGAGTGGTCTATCGGGGTCTGGTCTCCATGCAGCGGACAGCTTTCCATCACACTGTCCCCATGCCTAACACACTGCCCTGTGCACACTAGGAGCTCAGCACAAGTCAAGCCATCAACCATGTGAAGATTGCTCCCGACCCCCGCCTTCCTCGCTGGAGCTGCCTGGCCGGGACCTGCGGGGACCCTGCATGGAAACGGGCGGCCAGCAGGAGGCGCTCTGGAACCTCTTGGCGGCCCGGGCCCAACGCTCCCCTTTCCTGCACGAATGGCGGCAGCCGGTTGTGGGGCTGGGCTCGGGACCGCCACAGGGCTGGAGGCGGCGACGCTGCAGAAGCTGGCGCTTCGGCGGAAGAAGGTGCTGGGAACTGAGGAGATGGAGCTGTACGAGCTTGCGCAGGCTGCTGGCGCCACCATCGACCCCGATGTGTTCAAGTGAGAAGGCGAGGGTCGTACTCCCTGCAGATTGGCCTGCTCCAGGACCCCTCTGGCCCCATCCGCGACTCTGAAAACTCCCTCGTCTCTGTACTGCCCCGGCTCATGGAGCAGGTCCGCCCCGAGGCTTCCATGTTTCACTAAGCACCGCATTTGTTTTCCCAGGATCCTGGTGGACTTGCTGAATCTGAACGTGGCCCCCCTGGCCGTCTTCCAGATACTGAAGTCCATGTGTGCTGGGCAGCGGCTGGCGAGCGATCCCCAGGACTCGGTATCCATGTCCCTGTCCACATCAGAGAGCCGAGGTTAGAGGTGGGCCCGAGGGTGGCGGGGAGGGGGAGGGGCGGAGAACCTCAGGCTTGGCTCAGATCGGCTCAGCCTGTCTGTGAGTCTCCGCCCAGGGTCTGCAGACCAATTCAACTTCCAGGGACCTTAGTTGGCTCCACCTTTTGGATTGTCCTGCTGGATCAAGGACTGGTCCAAGCAGGCTAGGGTCCTTCTGTCTGACACCTTCCCACCTCTTCATCATGCCTTCCTTCCACAAGTACTGGAATAAACATGGCTTTGGTCTCCATGTACCTGACAATCACAGCCTCAGGGAAGGACTCAGAGAACAGGGCAGACAACTCCTTACCCACCCTTCCCAGGCCTGGTCTAGCTCCCCTTCATCTCAGGCCAGGCCTGCACACCTCCCGTCTGGGGATTAGTTGGGTTACAGGACTGGAGCCATCTGACTGCCTGCCTTGGAACACAGAGTAGAGGTCTGACAGGAAGATTATCCCGGGCTCAAATGTGAAGGATGTGCTCTTGTGGTCATGACTGGGATGGTGTATAAGCAGATGGTGGTGACCCGAGTGTGTGACAGAGGGAGCTCAGGTCCTTGCACCTACCCATCTACCTGGTGCATCTGTTCTCTTTGGCTGCTGGAACGCTCTTAACAACAGGTATTGATTGGCAGGTGTGGTAAGGTCAGGCACCCAGAATCAGGGTGTGTGAGCTCCCAGGGGTAACTGAGTGTTGCCCACCTGTTCCTTTAGTTTGGGGGGCTGAGGAGAAGGATTGGCGATGGGCCACAGGATGAAATGAAGGATTTCTGGAGAGCACAGGAACCACAGAATTGTTAGCTCCGGAGGGCTTCATCCTAGAAGGTCCTGAGGGACGTGGTATCAATGGGAAGCTTAGGAACACTGGCTGATGTGGAGATGTGAACGGCGGATTACGGCAGAGGTGGGGCTGGGTCTTAAATGTACTGTAGCTCCAGGCTACCGGTGAGACACAGAGATCTCTGACTTGTGTTTCTTAGTATCCATACATGCAAACCTTTCAGTCACCCTATCAATAACCAAATACGGAATGGGGAAAGTAACAGGAGTGGTCAGAGTGATCAAGCTGGAATGTGATAACCTGTAATGACAAAGTTTGTGGCCATTGAGGTTTGCCATAGCTTTCCTGTAGGAACTAGATTGGTATTGCTCCAGGCCATGAGCTAGAGTGCTGTTCAGCTTCTAGAGTCTGTAAGATGCTGCAGGCACAGCAGGGCCATCTGAATCGATGGACCCTGGCTGTCTAAGTTGCCCTTAATGGGAAACGATACCACAGAAACTGGTCACAGTGATTCTTCAGCCTTGCTGAGGGAAGTAAGTTCAGTTTAGTGCTCACTATTTAGCTTTAGGGAAACTATACGTTTGAAAAGCTGTCCCTCCAGAAAGTACAAGGTGAAATTTGGTGTGTAGAAGCCAGAAATCTCACATAAGCCGCACTGTCCAGTAAGTGCCTTGAGCCATAATGGGGCAGCTGTTGTCAAGGCTGGATATTGAAGAACAGTGTGAAATTAACACAACAGCTTTTGTGGACATGTTGAGATGATAATACAGCTGTCTCTTGATAGCTGTAGGGATTCATTCCAAGACCACCCCTCAGCCACAAACAGCAAAATCCACATGTGCTCAAGTGCCTTGTATAAAGTATGTACCCGTATGCATGCTTACGTCTTTCTTCCTTCCTTCCATCCTTTCATCTCTCTGTGCTGGCGAGGGAACCTAGGACTTCTGTACTATGCTCTGCCCTGAAACCCTGGCACATTAGTTTTCTACATACTAGGCATGAACCATGCCACTGAGCTACATCCCAAGACCTGTCTGATACCTGTCTCATAAATATTGATAGTACAGGTATAGCGTGCGCGCACACACACACACACACACACACACACACACACACACACACGACATGAAAGTAATGTCCTTCTCTATTTCTTCTAATTGTTTTTAGCTTGAAGTCTATTTTGTCAGATATTAAAAACAGCTACACCTACTTGCTTCTTGGGTCCACTGGCTTGTAACACCTTTTCCATCCTGTTACTGTAAGGTGATTTCTGTCCTTGATAGTGAGGTGTGATTTGTGGGTACAGCAGAAAGACAGATCCTGTTTTCTAACTCAATCTGTTAGTCTCCATATATTTTATTGAGGAAATTGAGACCTATTCAATTATTAGTGAAAAGTGTTTACTACTTCCCATTTGTTGTATTGTGGGTTTCCCCCTCCCTTTTAGCTGTTCCAGGATTGTTTATTCCTTCTACCTTCTTAGGTGTAGTTAACCTTCTCTTTAGGCTGGCAATTTTTTTTTCTGGTGCCTTTTGTAGAGCTTGATTAAAATTGTTTGTTTTTAACGTGAAATATTTTTCTTTCTGTCAATTATAGTTGGTAGTTTTGCTTGGTATAGGAGTCTGGACTGACATCTGTGGTCTTACAGAGTTTATAGGTCCTTCTGGTTCCAGATTATCCACTGAAAAGTTGGATGTTAACCTGGTGGGACTGCCTTTACGTGGTTGGGTCTTTTTTCTCTTGTAGGCTTTAGTATACTTCCTTTGTTGTGTACTTTTAGTTTTGGGACTATAATGTGTCGTGGGGAATTTCTTTTCTGATCCTGTGTATTTGGTGTTCTGTATGTTTCTTGTTCCTCAATGGGAATCTCTTTCTTTAGATTGGGGAAATTTTCTTTCATGGTTTTGTTAAAAATATTTTATGTGAGCAGTGTACATGCCTTTAATCCCAGCACTGGGGAGGCAGAGGCAGGCCAGTCTCTGTGAGTTCAAGGCCAATCTGGTCTACAGAGCAAGTTCCAGGACTGCTAGGGCTGTTATAGAAAAACCCTATCTCAAAAAAAAAAAAAAAAAAAAAAAAAGCCATATTTTTTTCTGTGATTTTGAACTGGATTTCTTCTTCCTTTACAGCTATTGTTTGTAGGTTTGGTCTTTCCATAGTGTCCTGGATTTTTTGAGTATTTTGAGCCTGACTGTGTTTTGATTTAACATTTTCTTTGACTGAGTTATCCACTGTCTTCTGCCTTGTCTTCAAGTCCCGAAATTCTCTTTTCCATGTTTTTTAATCTGTTGAGGTTTTTGCTTGATATCCTGAGTTTTTTGTTTCCAGTTTTATTTCAGTTTGCGTTTTCTTTAGGGATTCTGTTTCTTTGTTGAATTCTGCTTTTATGTCATGAATTGTTTTCATTATTTCATTCAACTGTGTTTTCATGTTTTTGTTTTGCTGTTTGATTGTTTTTTGATATTTGAGACAGTGTTTCTCTGTGTAGCCTTGCCTGTCCTGGATCTCACTTTGTAGACCAGGCTGACCTAGAATTCACAGAGATCTGCCTGCCTCTGCATCCTGAGTGCTGGGATTAAAGGCATGTGCCACCACTGCCCAGATTTTCATGGTCTTTGTTAGAGCCTTTATTCATATCCTCTTTGGGTCTTTTGAATGTATTCACAATTGCTGCATTTAAATTATTTAAATTCTGGTCTTATGCTGAGTTGCTTTTCCCAGGGCCTAACACACAGGGCTGCTGGTTTCTGGAGGAGACGTATTTTCTTGGTTGTTCATGTTTGTGTATTTGAAGTAGGACAAAGGCATCCGGAGTTACAATGTTTGAGGTGCTTCTCAGTGTAGATATCTGGTCTTGTCTTTATTGGGTGAGTGTTCCATTCTTCGGTTGCTGTTGCCCAATCTAGGTCCTAGCTAGGTGCGACCTATGTGGGGTCTTGAGTCGCAGCTAAGTGTGATGACTATGTGTCACTGGTAGAGAGTGATTCTGGATCCCAGCCAAGCTGGTTGGTTAAGGGGTCCCTGGCAGAAAGCTGTTTTGCAGGTCAATGGGGAGTCACAAAGGAATGGAGATGGGCTGGAAGGAAAGGCTAAGAGGGTGGTGGGGAGGAAAGAGGGTGACCTGGTGTTCACCAAGAGGTGGAGTCTGTAGGGGATGGGTCAGGCTGGAAGGAGGAGCTCCTGTGGGCTAAGAGGAAGGCAGGAATGGAGGATAGAAAGGAAGTTGAAGGTCCCCTTCCGAAGTCTCAGCCTGGTGTGTCAGCTGCTGGAGAGAGGTTCTTCAGGGCTGGGGAGTCACAGGACTAGAGGAGCTAGAAGAAAAGACCTCCAGGGCTGGGGAGTCACAGGACCAGAGGAGCTAGAAGAAAAGGCCTCCAGGGCTGCCAGGAAGAGCTGAGGGCACTCTGGTCTGCATCATGGAGGTGGGCCAGGAGGAACTGTTCCCTTTTGAGAAAAGATTGACCTTGAACTCTTTATATAGCTGAGGACGACCTTCAACTTGTGACCTCTTGTCTCTGTCTTTTGTCTTTTTTGGTAAGATTACAGTCCTGTGCCACCAGCCTGGTTTATACATTGTTGGGAATCAAACCCGAAGCTTTGTACATGCTAGGTATACAACTAGTGAACTTTACCACCAGCTCCCCACCCCCCTTTTAAAATGTTTCTATCATGAGATGGTCTCACTGATTTACCCAGATTAGCCTTGAACTCACAGTGGCACAGGCCTTGGCCATGTGACCCTTCCCTTAGTCCCCCTATCCCAGAAGTAGCTAAGATTACACCCCTCTGCTACCAGGCCTAGTCACAGACTAGTCATGAAGTCCTAGGTCCAAGTCCTCCTCCTACCTCAGCCTCCCAAAGAAATGACATTATAGACATGTACCCCTGTACCCTGCTTTTTACAAAAACATTTTAAGTCCAAAATCTTTTGAATCTGTAGATGCAAACCCCATAGCCATAGAGGATATAGAGGGCCAATTAGACTGGATAATTTGAGCTAATTAAAATTATATTAGATTCATTTCTCATTTCCTTTCTTCTCCTCCTCTTCTTCCTCTGTCATCTCTTCTTTCTTTTACTTTTACTCCTCCTTTTCCTCTTCCTCTTCTTCTTTTTTTTTTTTTTCTGGACAGGGTCTCACGTGGCCCAGGCTGACCTAGAACTATGTATCCCAGGTTGGCCTTCAATTCCTAATTCTCTG